AGGACTTTCAAACTCGCAAGTAATGTCCACGAGTTTTACGCTATAAACATCGTAGGTCAATTATACTAATGTACCCATCCCCAGACTTTCACTCTTCTCATCAGCTTCATCACTACAACTCTTCCCTAGCTTAAGCCACCATTCAATCTAAAGATTAAGCCTAGATCTCAACCCAGACTGTACCTGTTTTTAAATATGTTTTTATTGATTTCAGAGAGAAAAAAGGGAAAGGGAGAGAGAGATAGAAACATAAATGATGAGAGAGAATAACTGATAGGCTGCCTCCTGCACATCCCTACTGGGGATCGAGCCCACAACCCGGGGGTGTGCCCTTACTAGGAATTGAACAGTGAACTCTTGGTTCATAGGTAGACACTCAACCACTGAGCTATGCCAGTCAGGCAAAAACTGTATCTTTTCTATTGGGAAAAAATAGGTTGGCCCTCCAGAACTACTCCTTTTTGCCCTTTTAAATACAGATGCAGGAAGCTGCTCAGAGGCTGAAAATTGGATTTGCAGTGTTCACATCCCTAAGGTTTGCAAATCAATACTACAAAACTCCTAGCTACCAGTCTTGTCAATCCCTGCTGCTTCTCTAACTTATCAGAGTGCAGTGTTTCTCTTTTCTGGCAATAGCAAGTGGATCATCATAGTTCATTTTCTTTCTTTTTTTATTTTTTTTAAATATATTTTATTGATTTTTTACAGAGAGGAAGAGAGAGGGATAGAGAGTCAGAAATATCAATGAGAGAGAAACATGGATCAGCTGCCTCCTGCACACCTCCTACTGGGGATGTGCCCGCAACCAAGGTACATGCCCTTGACCGGAATTGAACCTGGGACCTTTCAGTCCGCAGGCCGACGCTCTATCCACTGAGCCAAACCAGTTAGGGCTCATAGTTCATTTTCAAAGTCAGAGTGTGTCTGTGGCTGAGTTCAGGAATATCCTTGCATCCCCAATACTAAGATAGAGTCTCCTTCCTGAAGACAAGCAAACAAAAATATTTGCCAAAAAATGTGAGGGGAAAAAACATTTGCCATAAAAAGCCAAAAAATTAAACAAATTATCACCGATAGGACCCACCTGAATGAGGTGCTCTTTTTAAAGGGCAAAAAGAAGTTGGGGAATAATTTCTAACATTTTCTTACTTCATGACCACTGTTCTATTTATGTGATCTCATCCTCTGTGATAAATCTTGTAGTTTATATTTTTAAAGTCTATCTTACTGAGGCTTTTCCAATTCATTAGCATACAATTATTATGCTTAGTAGTTTTATAATTTTAAGATATTATCTCAATGTTATAACTCTTTACAATTTCTAGGGTTTTTTTTGGTTCTACCTAAATTATGTTCTTAACAGTGTTATCTTAATTTGTTTTCCCAAAAGAACCTGTTAAAACAACGAAATAGGATTGGTAGAAGTACTTGAAAGCATCAAAATTAAGAGATCCAATGTAATATATCACAATTAGTCAAATAAGAAAACACATCATCTAAACAAATGCAAAAGAACCTTCAATAAAATTCCACACAAATATAGATAAAATTCTGGAAGAAGAAAAAAAAGTCAATAATGCTTATCATCGATGATAGGGTTAAACATAGTTTTAAGTTCTTCTTTTTGCTTTTTTAAAATAAAATATACTATGAATTTTCAAATAGTAAGGATTTATAAACCAGATTGTAGTAAGCTGGGAGAAACTAGACGTGCATATTTATCCAACCTCTGAAGGCCGTGGGCAGACAGGAGACTTGCACCAAGATACAGGAACCAGTTGCTGCACAGCCTTTGTGTCTGCTCTGTTTACATATTACTTATTCAAAAGAATTTGGCTTAAGACTTGTTTTCATTATAGTATAACCCTCACTGACCTCCTTACTGATGAGGCCAAATGGTCAGATTGGCTTAGGTCAATCTGTAATAATATTGACATAAAATGTTAAGTGAAAAAAAATCAGGTTACAACATATATATGTACATACAGTTATGTACATATAAAATTTACATAATTAATATAAGATGCCATCAGTTGGTCAGAGCAACAGAAAACCATATAAAATATGCATTTTTTATGCCACTAAAAGAAAAACTGCCCACTTTTTTATGTTAGAATTTTGTTTTAACTTATACAGATTTCATCATGTATCATGCTGCTGGTTCCATGTCTTTGTATATACTCAGTAACTTTGCCTTTTAATACCAAACCATGGTGAAGTGATTTTGAAAGCAATTAATTCATGTTGTGCCAGCAAAGTTCATACCTATTCTGAAGTGACAACAATATAAGCCATGTGACCAAGGTCACACATGCTTAGGTAATGACAGCTACCTCATGACTTCTGCCAGGATGCACGGTGTAGGAGCACAGATATGAAAATAAGAAAAAAAAATGTGCCTTAGAATTAACAAAATGTATTAACATTTGTGTTTTTGTTTGTTTGTTTTTTAAATATATTTTTATTAATTTCAGAAAGGGAGAGGGAGAGAGAAAGACAGAAACATCAATGATGAGAGAGAATCATTGATAGACTGCCTCCTGCATGCCCCTTACTAGGGATCGAGTCTGAAACCTGGGCATGTGCCCTGATCAGGATGGAACCCAGACCTCCTGGTTCATAGGTCAATGCTTAACCACTGAGCAAGACTGGCCGGACTGGTTGGTTGAATTTTAATGGCTTTCGTTTGAATAGTCTACCTTAAAGGCTAAGGACAACAAGATTTCATCGGCTTCCTCTCCAGGCTATTTCTGTTGCTCTGACCAAGGAGCCCTTCTGACGAGAGTCCTTGCTGCCTGAGTCCCATTTAGAGTTTTGATGGCTACTGGACCTTCTTTCTGCATAAGCATTCTGGGGTTAATAGGTTCTTATCTACCTAAGTTAACCATCACAAAGAGCAGCCATCATGGGAACACCACCCAGCATTCTGGAAACCTGGGTCTACACAGGCTGTGGACAGTCAGGCACTGGTATGCACTCACATGCACACAGTAAACTTTGCCTTTTAATAACAAACCATGGTGAAGGGATTTTGAAAGCAATTAATTCATGTTGTGCCAGCATTTTAGATATATAGTAATCCTCTATATATTTAAAAGGCTAAGTGACCATCCAAACTGTCCATCCTACCGTCCAACCAACCGACCGGCCAGTACATATGACACACACTGGCAATTTAAAAATAAACGTTGACTTGCGTATGGGCAATACATATAAAGCTTTTGCTGGCATCAATCGCATGCACATGTTTTGATCTGTCATTGTTGATCATGAATTTGGTTGACACTTCTATTATAGAGAAAGGGCGAATAATGATATTAAAGTATGTCTAATTAATTTCCTTTCAATGTGCACGAATCCGTGCACCAGGCCACTAGTTAGCTATAAGCCAGTTTACTCACTGCCTATATCATTCCTGGGGATCAAGCCCACAACCCAGGCATGTGCCCTTGATCAGAATTGAACCTGGGACCCTACAGTCCATAGGCCAATGCTCTATCCACTGAGCCAAACCAGCTAGGGCAATAAAGTGTATTAATGTTTTAACATAACACTATTTATAGGGGGTAAGATTATGAGTGACTTATTTTCTTAACACTTTGGTATTTTCATTTTATTCTAATTAGTATATATTATATGACAGGAAAAAAATGTTTGTTTGGTCTGTTTAACTCTCTTCTCTCCTTTAGGCAATGTTAACTGACTCTTCCCTAGTCTGGGCATAGCCAGTAGGTCTAAGTTCAATATAGCAACACCAGTATGTTGACCAACCACAAGGTTTTCTACCAGGATTAGGTTTGTGGATTTGTTTATTTGGTTTGAGGCAGGGAAGCAGGGTGGAATGAATACAACTGAGGAGGAAGTAAGTACAAAATAAATAATTGAATAAAACTTGGGATACTTTACAATTTAGCATTGGAGCAGTCTTTTTTTAATCTTTAATTATGGCTGATCCAAGCCTGTCTATAGACACATTTTATGACCTGCAAATCACAACCTAAAGAGAGTACTATAGACTACTGGGTAACCCAGGAGAGGGGGGTATTATTTTGCATCCATTTACTTGATCATTTAGTGTTTCTTCAGAGAACACAGTGGGATGCAGGTAAGAAGAGTGGGGAGGGGATGAGAGAGAGGGTTACTTGGGTAGTAATGTGTTAAGAGGAAGTGGATTAATATATTTTAATTGACTGAGGATTCTGATTAAACTTGTTCCAATTCCTTGATATTGTTCTATTAAGGATTAATCTGAAATGAGGTCAGATCTTTTATGCTAGATCCTGTACTCTTGCTGTATGCCATGAGAGGATAACTCAAAGGCCACCTGAAAAAGCAGCCCTCCTACACATATCCATACTCACACCCCCATCAACATGGGCTCCAAGAAAAAAGGTTTTGTCTGAAAAAGGAAGATGGGAAGAGGAACCCATCTGCCATTTTGTAAGATGAGACAATCACATCGCTTCCCTGTTATACCCAGTATCTGTTCTCAACAACAGAATCCTCCCTCAACCCAGAAGGCACCTTGACCGGGAATCTCATTGGGCAACTCTGTCACCCGATCTCCCACGTAATCTATGTATGTAGCCCAGCACTTTCCTTTGAATTTCTATTTCATGCTTTTAACTGACACAATTATCACTGAACATTTCCCCCAAAAGGACACACACAGAACACGTTCTTGGCTATTATCAGGACGTTATCATAAAACAACATATTCAAAAATCATCTATATGGATGAACTGAGTATTTTTAGTCCAGAGCTAATACAGTTTTTAAAAAGTTACTTGGGGAAATACAATTAAAACCCAGACTTGGAAACGAGGCGCCAACTAGTTTTAAAAGGCTTCATGCAAATAAACGAGACAGTAGCACTGTGTGTTGTTTTTCAAAAGCCTCAGCTCAATAATGAGCAAAGCCTTTCTCCCCACTTCAGTCACATGGGTTTCAAGTCTAAGAAAGGGCCACTTCAACCTGAAGCCCAATGCTTAGGAACTTACGTAAAGAGGTACTTCGCTGCAGCTCAACTCCATGGCTTCTGCATCTGCAAACAATAAAAAGAGCATTTATTACTGGAGTCATCATATAACCAACCAACAGAATTGTGTCCTGACCTTCAGGTATCAATATTGTCAAAGGAGGAGTAACTCATTAGATAGGAAAATTGCAGAGACAAAATTATAAAAATACAGAAATAAGATGCTACCTGTATAAAACAGAACCCCTTTCTTATTTTGTATTAATATCCACACATAAGGAAATCCATCACCCCGACATTATCCCACTGACTGCTCCCAAAATGGAAATTATATTTCAGAGAGACAAGAAAGGTCAAAATAAGCAGGTTGAAAGTTTCACCTTAATTAATCGCTTGGATGACAGGCTTCTCTGAGATCAGAATCCACTTTTGGTGGAACAAGGCAGATCTTAGAGAGGGCCAGACATTTCAGTCTGGGGGAATGCAGGCCGCTGTCATGCAAACCCACCTCTTCCCCAGCTGCATGCATCTCATTTGCCTTTGGGTGTGCCTGCCCCTTGACACCCACACCCAGAAACCAGCTTCCAGCTTAGGAAAAAAGGAGCCAGCATCATTCAAACGGGGTTAATTGAAGGGAGTCAAATAGGTACAAACTTCCAGTTAAAAAATAAGTTATGGGGATGCGATGTACAGCATAGAGACTATCTATAATAATAAAGGCATAATATGCAAATCAACCGAACAACCGAACAGCAGAACCACCATCTGGACGACCTACTGGCTGACCACGCTATGACACACACTAACGCCAGGCCAGCCAAGGCGGGTGTGATGAGATTGGTCAGGGGGGCCGACATCGCCCCACAATCGCCCCGCAAAGGGAGGCCCAGGCCACCCTCTGCACAGCAATCAATCACGGAGCCCTGCAATTGATGGCCTCAAAGAGGGAGGCCCAGGCTACCCAGCCAATGGCGCTGCGGCGGGTGGGTGAGACCTCCCTCTGCTGCGCAATTGATCACCCCAAAGAGGGAGGTCCAGGCTACCTGACTGGCAGCACTGCAGCAGGTGGGCGGGGCCGCCTTCTGCGGGGCTATCAATCTAGAGACCCAGCAATCAATTGCCCCACAGAGGGAAGCCAGGCCACCAGCCAGCAATGCTGTGGCGGATGTGTGGAGCCAGCCAGCAATCACCCTGCAGAGGGAGGCCCAGACCAGCCAAGCGATCGCACCCCACACCTGTCTGTCGCCTGCAGAGGGACAGCACCACACAGATGGTAAGCAGTGGCAGCGGCAGCGGCAGGGGTGGGGCCAACTGCTGGCAGCTGGGGGAAGGAAAGCCCTGATAGACCCTGATCGCCAGCAGGCCTCGGGACCCTACCCGAGGGGTCCCAGCTTGCAAGAGGGCGTAGGCTGAGCTAAGGGACAACACCTGCCCCATGCACGAATTTCGTGCACCAGGCCTCTAGTAGTTAATAATACTGTATTGCATATTCAAAAGTTGCTAAGAAAATAGATTGTAAAAGTTCTCATTACAAAGAAAAATTCTGTCACTATCTATTCTGACAAATGTTAACTAGCCTTATTGTGGTGAACACTTTGCAATATATACAAATATCAAATTATCATATTGTACACCTGAAACTAATAAGATGTTGTGTGTCAATTATAGATCACTTAAAAAATAAGGGAATCCAACCAGTGTTGTTCAGTGATTGAGCATCAATCTATGAACCAGGAGGTCACGGTTTGATTCCCAGTCAGGGCACATGCCCAGATTGCAGGTTTGACCCCAGTAGGGAGTGTGCAGGAGATAGCCAATCAATGATTCTTTCTCATCATTGATGTTTCTATCTCTCCCTTCCTTGCCTTTCCTCTCTGAAATCAATAAAAACATGTTTTTTTAAAAAGTAGGGGAGGAGGGTTCATTGAACACTACTATAAGACCCAGCCCTCAAGGAGCTCACAGCTGAACAAAAGAGACCTAAAGATTGGGAGAAGGTGAAGCGTGGGCTGCAGGAGAATTCTGAATGGGGCAGACAGGGAGACTCACCACCACCCTCTCGCCTCCGCCCCACAGAGAACAGAAGTGGGACAGGGTTCTGTTCACTAGGCCAAGCCTGGCTCTGGTTCCTGGGCCACAGCCCAGCTACGGTACTTCGGGGCCTTCTCTTAAGAAGGCAGGCACACAGAAATCCAAATTGTGACATTTGGTATAGCAATTCCCAGAGAACAAACTTGGCCAGGAGGAAAATATAAAAAGTCCTGTATTATTTTTTATAAGATCCTTTAACTTAATACTGGCATCCTCCTAGGTCACAAGTTACATTTCACGAGTCATCCCGAGAGAAGACCGAGGGTCCCATAAGCCCAAGGGGTTGACAATGGAACCCTTCCTTGGCCCTCATTTTCAACATGCTGTACCCTGTGCATACCCACTTAAACGGGATTATGGATGATAATCATCGATTTTTAATGAAACTAACCTCACATATTGGATGAATGGCTTAGGAAGTTCAAGAAAGAAACTTCAAATTAAATACAATACTAACAAGAATATGACAAAACTGAGACTCTCATTTCTAATATGAATTGTTTATCACTATAAAATAAAAATGATGACTAATCTAAGTAGATCTAAGTAGATCTCCCCAAAATTAAAAATTATAAAGAAGGCACTTATAATATGAATGTATACCTGCTACCACATACCATGACCCTTTACCGTAAATATACACTAGGCCTCAAGAGATTAACAATATTTTCACTTACGTTTAGAGTCACACCATACATAATTCCAATTCTTCACCTTTCACTCAACTTGATAAACTTATAAGAACACTGAACATTTCTACTTGATAGCATAAGAAATGCATTCTAGCCCTGGCCAGTGTGGCTCAGTTGGTTGGGCATCACCCATGCACCAAAAGGCTGTTGGTTAGATTCCCAATCAGGACACATGCCCAGGTTGTTCGCTTGATCCCTGGCTGGGGATGTGCAGGAGGCATCTGATCAATGTTACGTTTGCACGCTGATGTTTCTCTCTCTCTCCTCCCTTTCTCTCTCTCTAAAAATCAATAAGGTATTTTAAAAAATTAAAATGGTTTTAAAAAGGAGTAAAATTTTAAAAATGCACTGACTATAAAAAGACTGAAATAATATACAGACAATAATAAAGCAACAAACTAACATGCATTCCTTTGTGAGCAAATCTTTGAAGACTTAAAATTTTTAAGAAGTATATTATAACAAGTTAAGCTGTGTGGGAGGCTTACCATACACGTATTTACTATATGAAAGTACACATGTTTCTCACAACTCAACATGTGATATTTGTTAGATTTTGTCTGATAATAAAGTACATCAAAAAGAAACCACTTTTGAGGAGAATGTGAAGACATATTCTGAAGAGTGAAACTCCTGTCAAAACTTCCTAGTTGAGTCGTGGAGAAAAATAATTTGGAACAAATTATACACTTGATAAAATAAACTTCAAGCTGAAAGATATATCTTCACTTGGATTTTCCTAAAATCAATTGCTCTGTTACAGTAAAGAGCAGCAGGCTCTGTGCTCGCCTGCAGGCCGCACGGCTAACCCACTCTGGGCCTCCTTTCACATCACCTTTAATAATTAAGCAAGTTGTATTTGCGAGGCAAGTTACAACTGTCAGAATTCTTCACACAGTAGCTTTTCCCTGTATAAATGCCATGCTCTCCACTTCATTTTACTTTCTAATGCTTGAGTTCTCCACCTGTAATTTTAAAATTTCAGATTCAAGTACTTTTTTTCCCTTTAATTGTACTGCATTTTTGAAAATGTGTCTTACGGAGATAAAAGCCAAAATAGTTCCAGTTTTGCTGGCAGATGCCAGGGGATGGTTTGGGGACCAAACTTAATTTTCAAGTTTGCTCACAAAAGGGGGGAAAGGTCTTATGAAAAGAACATCAAGATACAATGTTTTAGACATTATGAGGAATAAATATTCCAATATCTTTGATTGTTAATTAACTCAAAAGAAAAAAAGACAATTTTCAATAGGTAAAAATATGTTAAGTTAATGAGGAAAGAAAATATAACATTCAACTTATACAGAAAAAATCAGTTCTTGACTTTATGAAATTCTGGATTTTGCATCTAAATGAAGTATTCTAAGATTAATTCAATATAAAGCCCATGACTTATATTTTGTCTGTGAACACAAAATAATCATTGGCTTTTTTGTATTTTACAAAACCTATTAACAGGTAATGCTCAAAGAATATTTATCAAGACTATTAGTAACTACATTAGAAAGGATAATGATATGTCAGGCACCATGCTAAGTATTTTACAAATTTCATCTCAGAGATTCACACAACAGCCCTGAGAGAAAAGTGTAGGAAGTTAAGCTGAGAAGCAAAAGTTACCTAAACATAAATTTTTAAAGAAATAAATTGATCATTTACAAGATAACAAGCAACTGCCTCCCCCATTCATTCTCTACCCACCCATTCCACCCACCCTTAATGCTAGCATCTTATTCTCCCAGCCATTTCTTCTTGTACATCAACAGATGTCTTTGTAGTTACTTGTTTTGACCTTCGGGTGGTTTTCAAATGTTGTAAATAAAATATAAATCAATTTAAAATAAAATTAGAAATATTTTTTAAAGCATAAAATACGGTTAAATGGAGTTGAAAAAAGTACTGTTGAGTACTGGAGAACTTCTCAAATCATGAAACTACTGGATCAGTGAGATTGTTTCAGAGACCCATTAACAAGTGAAAAAGAAAAATAATGAGAAAAAGGCTTAAAGATAATAATTTCATTTAGAAGGAAGCAAATGCCTGACAGTACAGGCTCGGGAACAGGCTGCATTTGAACACCAGCTCTGCCCGGTTCTATGTGACTTTGGGCCTGTTATTTCACCTCCCTAGGCCAATTTAGAACTAGTAACAGTACCTACCTAATCTGATTGTTGGGAGGATTAAAAGATTTGATAGAGTCTTAAAAAAACACACACACACAGTGCCTATCATATGCATTCAATTAACACTAGCTGTAATTATTACATATTTATTATTATTGTA